CATAGACCAGACTGGAGAGACCACAGCGGACCCGTATGGATCCAGGAGCGTGCAGCATGGATCCATGGGAGAGACCAGTGCAGACCCGTCTAGATCCATGGGAGAGACCAGTGCAGACCCGTATAGATCCATGGGAGAGACCAGTGCAGACCCGTATAGATCCATGGGAGAGACCAGCGCAGACCCGTATAGATCCATGGGAGAGACCAGCGCAGACCCGTATAGATCCATAGGAGAGACCAGCGCGGACCCAGTAACCTCCTGCAGCAGCAGTATATATGCCGTTGTTCTGTGGCCCGTGGATAAAGAAATGTCCCCAATAATTAGGGTCACTAATACACGGCAAGATTTCCAATGTATTTGATAAAGCGTTGGCACATTTCATTTCAAAATGAATTAAAAAATAGGCTAAATTATCATTAACAATTAAATAAATAAATACATACATCAATATGACGGACATTTCACTGTAATGTTATGTTTTATGGAACTACATAACACCAGCGTGCGAACATGTCGGCACTGAATGTGCGTACGAGTGCTCCTGAGCATTCGTAGGATTTGTACGTACCCAAGAGAAATTCTGGTTACGAGAAAATGTCATGAATGCCACAATCTTTGTAAAAATTTCGTAAGTAGGATGCGCACAAATTTGTTCTTAAGTACGGTTTGTGAATGAGGCCCAATGTTTACAAGTTTCAAAATATTACCCCTTGTACCCCTAGGGATTCATGCACCCCCGGTTGGGAAACAATGGTTCCGCAGAAGTTGTAACGTGCTTGTATCTGCAATACCTGTCTGATGAAGGGTAGTGACCCGAAACGTCACAACAGTTTGTGGTGATAATTAAAACCACTTGGAAGCTAAAGCTGTGCAGAGTCTTCTCCATTTCTTTCATCTATCTGCAATACAGCCAAGTCCCGGCGATCCAAGATGGCGTCCTAGTCAAATCAGTTGGCTTGTGCTGAGTAGCGCATGTGCCACCATGGGGACCGAAAGATTAGCGGAACAGTGGACGAGCTCCCATGATACTTTGCGCCAAATACGCGTGTGGCTCTCATGCACGTGCACAGAAGGGCTCGCCGCGTCCTGACCAATCAGAGCTGCTGATCAGAGCGGAGTTAGAACGTGAGGCAAACGAGCAGAGTTTGTGGATTTATAGAAAACCAAAGGATTTAAGAAGAAATAAAGTTCAGGATGGGACACTAAAATCCCCACAAAATCCGACCTTTATGAAAGCTGTAGGTTCTCTGTCAGCTGAGGTTGAGCTGTTTTAGATAACATTGAGTTCTATGGAGAAAATATCTGGGTAGCCCCCGTGAATTTAGTCTTGTTTTGTCTGCAGTACCTAGTAATACCCTATCCAGTTATTATTATTATTTTAGATCCATGAATACAGAAGACTCTGAAAGGCTCATGATTGTATATTCAGTATATTTGGAATCGCAATTTATATCTAAAGGAGTTTTCATACTGCAGGGTAACAGTGGGACAGGTTGCCACATTGTTTGAACCCGTGTCTGCTTATCAACACTGGGAAGACTTCTGACTTTGAATTTCAAAATAAGTCCTTTTAAGTCCCAGCTATTTTGCTTTTAAAATATGGTTAAAAACAATGATACATGTCTCATTTCTAGACCGAAGGCAAAGCCACAGTCAGAAATAACACAATACCACTCTACACATAAACAAGCTCACGCTGAATGCACGCACAATGGCCACGTGTCGGTGTGAGTGGAAAAGGCAGGCGCTACATGAGGCAAACTGCTGTTATTTCTGCAACAAAAGAGCCGTAAAAATAGCACAACCTGAATATGGCCAGAGCATCTGTAGAACATAAGCAATCATGTAGAAATGTGGTTTTCAGAGAGCACTGGGCCATTGAGGACTTGTGTGAAGAGACTACGCAAGATCAAGTTTTAAGATTGCTTGAATAAGAAACACTGTATATATTAATTCACAGATACTTTGTCTTGAAATAATTATTTTGTTGTCGTTCCAAGTGAGAAATTGTTTGCATATATGAGTCAAAGAATTAATCATTATTTTCAGCTTGGTAAGTCAAGATGAAAGTGACTTAATTCAAGCATTTGTTATAGTAGTAAGTAAGTAAGTAATCTTAATTTATACAGCGACTTTCACAGTCACAAAGTACTTTACAATTGTTGTGGGCATTTGTCTCTCCTTCCACACTGAGATGGGAGCATTTTTGGTATATGACAAAAAAACAAAAATGAGTTGCTCACAGTTTATAAACCCAAGAAAAAGATATAAGAAAATAATAATATTTTGAATACGAACAGTAAGCCATTATCATCAAATTTTAACTAACATATGGAATATCTCACATATAAGAAATTGGTTTAACATTTAAAGTTGAATTTTAAAAAAAAAAAGAATATTGTATATTTTGTTTGTCTATTCTCAACAATAAATAAAAAAAAAAAAAGCAATCCGTAGATTTTGGTTAACATAAAAGTTCTATGCTTTTGTGCACTTGTGTCTGCAGTGATTGTGTACAGTGTGTTCATATGAAAGAGGGAGAAAACAGGGAACAGTACAAGAGTCTTCTCTTTGTCTGCTAGAAACACCTTAGACAACAAAAATAACTTGATTCTGCAGTTATTACGGCCACATGAACTGTTCTAACAAAAGCCAAAGCTCTCTCAAAACTGCTCGTGTCGCTACGGTGAAATCTTCCCATGACTCGTACGGTTGGATTTTAAAAGTACAAACTCTCTCTCCAGTCTCGAGATGAAGATACAAGTTACTTCAGTACGCGTTACAATCCTCAAAATCCACAACAACGTGCACAGAGGGCAATGGCAGCGTTCTGACCAATCAGAGCAGCTGATCGGAGCGGAGCTAGAGCGGGAGAAAAAGTAGAGTTTGCTGCACTAAAGTATGGATTTAGAGAAAACCAATGATTTTAACAAGAAAAAAAGTTCAGGATGACAAGGGACACTAAAATCCGCACAAAAACCAACCTTTATGAAAGCTGTAGGTTCTGTCAGCTGAGGTCGAGCTGTTTACTGTAAGTTTAAGTTGCTCCCGTGCCCAAGCAATAAACCCAGAAATTATGATAACAATTTCTCCTCAAAAGAATGAATAAAGATTAAAACCAAAAATGTAATTGTGCCACTATCATTTTTAAGGGCTAACAAGAATCATACTTTAATGTTAAGACCGAGTCTTAAAAAAAAAAAAAAAGATTCAACAATGCACCCACTTGCATCTAAAGATATCGTAGGCAAAATTGATCTTTGATAAAAAATGAAATTGATTACTAATAATGGACAATCTATCTGCTTTGGATTTGGACAGGACTGAAATCAATCTCCCAAAAGCTCTGGAACATTCATATCAGTGAATATAGACAGAATGCTTAGTGCGTCTAATAATATCCATTTCCCAGATTTCCATTAGCGGCTTTAGCGAGCGCCGCCGGGCATTCTGATGGAGTGTGACACGCGCGGCGCATCGGCAAACAGGCAAACATCTGTGTGGGAGACGCGCTCAAGTACAACCTCAGCAAAGCATATTATTAGCATCTGACGCCGCGCAAATGACTATAATCACTGCGCAAAGTAAGTCCGCAACAATGAGCCGACAGCCCACCAGCGATTATGAAGAGGGAAAAAGTTTGAGCTGGATTACTACACGCAGGATTGCATTTGCTGCGCACCTTTGGCCCTTAGCAAGTTCATAATGAGAGGTAGTTTGAGAGAGGACACACTGTTTTAGAAAAGAACCCTCTTCCGTTTGAGTATTGTAGAAAATGCTGCATGTTTACTTGAAGAGAGGGGCAGGTAGGTGCATCGGGATCAGAACATTTTCATTGTCGTCATAGTGGTACAATGACATCATGCTATTGACCCCTTGCATGTGACGTCCCGGCCACGCCCACTCTCCATGATACAAGGTGGAAGTCTAACTGCGAGCCTTCGGAAACTTGACCAAAACAACCTGTTTCACCGAATAACAGCCAAAAACTGTGACATTTGGCAGTGCTGTCGGTTGTACTAACAGGCAGGGACATAATACAAATGTGTCTTTTTACCTGATACCTACTCCTGATGAAGACAGAGGACGACAATGGCCAGTGGCAATCAACCAAAAGAACTGGGAGCCATCCAAGGACTCCCGAATTCACAGTGAACACTTTTTACAAGATAAATCCATCACAATTTTGTATTTTCTTTCCATAAATTTTTTTGGAGGACAATGACATAAGGAACGCTTGAAGTCAAACGTGTGCTCTAACTACTGTCCTGTATGTGTGCTGCAAGATTGAAATTTCCCCACTGTGGCACGAATAAAAGATCTATCTTATCTCAGACATAAGTTGCGTTTTTCATTATTTTCCTCTCTGTCAATATGTATCATGTTTGGCTGTAGACAGAAAAGTGCATTGCTAATGTGCTAATGCTACCAGCAAAATGTACATATAAATCTGCTCCAGTGTAAGGGGATGCATCGATGACAACATAATGATAAAGACCATGTGGGGTGAATTCAGGCAAAATTGGACATTTCATTTAATCGATAAAATTGACTGGGGGGAGAAGGTACGGGTCAACATCCAGTTCGATCCTTAACTTCTCCAAATACCGCTCTTTGTGAGCCCTGACCTGATGTCCTACTTTCACCTATAACGTAATCGAACATGTGCTTGAAGCAGCCACTTCTCGTTTTAGGAGAGGAGTCATATTTTTAAGAGTTGTAGTCCGTTTTGCTCTCGCCGCAATGCTAGTTTCCACTACATCCGCCGTAAGCTCAAGCAAAACCACGTGACTGGATGACGTCGATGCATCTGGTCAATAACACTGAGACAGGAAATGATAGACAGAAGGGGCGGAGTTACATGTTTGTGCCAGAAGCTAAAGATATCAGTGTGGGTGGGTCCAAAAACCAACTCCGGGTCTGATCTTGATGAAGAATAGTAAAAAGTAAAGTTTGTATGATATGACTGTGGGTAAAGGTGCGCACATGGGCCTTACCTGGTGTGAGTGACGATGTCGGTGAGCGCTCCTCCCTCCAAAAACTCCATGACGACCCACAGCTCGTCCCCGACCAAGTAACTGTTGTACATGTCCACCACGTTGTCATGGTGATAGTCCCGCATAATCACCACCTTCACAACGACAAGAAAAAAAAAACACATTTCAGTAGATAGATGATTTCTGATCACCTGTAGTATCATAAAAAAGCAGCAAAGTCCAGTAGAAAAACGTGATTCCCTATTTTGTGTTTTCATACTGAGGGTTAAGTGATTATATATATATATATATATATATATACACACACACACACACACACAGAAAATATTCAAGACAAAAAATAAAGATGAAAAGTAGGAGCTTTCACAGTAAAAGGATTACACAGGGGATTATAGCGGGATTACATGAAGCTAATGAGATCACACATAACACCCACATTGTCCTTATGCACATGTGGAAGAAACATGTACACTGTTCCAACGCACTGCTAATACTGCTTTTGATTCAAGTAAAAATATCAACTGGTTCCTTATTGATTTGATGTATCTATAATAAGTGAATAGCGTGTGAACTTGTTTAGCATATTGTCATCAAGGCAGTTCTTTGCTCCTCCTTCCTCCTGAGTCTTCTCCCTTGACTGTGGTAGAAGCAAAGCTAAAATCCTGAGAATTACTTTTAATTGGACTTGGCCCAGTTTGCCCATTGTTTTTCCTGGAGCTTGGTTGGACTTTGTTGATATCATTTTTTGTTTCTTCAGTATTTTTTGTTAATTAAATGAACTTGTTATTTCTTGGACTCATTTAATTTAAATCACAACACACATGGCACATGGCACGCTTTAGTCAAGGGGGCACTGAGGTGGGAGTTTAAGACTGTACACTAACTTTGTATATTTTGATCTATCTATCTTGCTATTTACTTATAATGTCATCTGAGAGGTAAATAAAATGATGTGCGTATTATGGCTGCCTTATGATGCTAAAGCCCATGATGTTTTTGGCTATACATTGGGCAAAAGTGCAACAAAATGTTTTATTAATAGTGAATAGTTGCAGGGATCTGGCCTTAGTTTTCATTTGCAAATCTCTAAATTAGCAGACGGTCCATGTAAAGTTCTGCAGAGTCAGCGTCCGGACCTCGTTGAAGAGCAGCTCTCGTCTCTGCTGTTTCCTCAGGTCCATCTTCTTCACTGCCACCTGTTTGCCGCTGTGCTTCTCGCTGGCGATGCACACGATCCCCGTGGAGCCCTCCCCGATCTTAATGAAGCTGTCCAGGTACTCCCGGGGGTCACCTGAGGACGACACACACTGGTCAAGAGTCTCGTCATATGACTGAGGAGTGAGCTGGAGACATATGCAACATCCACTCAAAGAGATTTTAACCCTGTTAGAACGGTCCCCGTCTCATTTCTCGTCATTTTGGAAGAAATCAAAAAATAATGCTGCTTGTGAAGCTCATAAATGCATCATATTTATCCATGTTTTTCTAAACACCAGTCTCCTCCCGTTGGGACACCTCCCCAGGACCTCCCCTCCGTCTAGGAAGCATCCCAAACAGATCCCCGAGCCACCTCTACTGGCTCCTCTTGATGTGGAGGAGCAGCGGGTCTTCTCTGAGCTCCTCTGTAAGGGAGCGCCCTGCCGCTCTGCAGAGGAAACATAAATCTTTTGACGTAGCTTAAAGCACCATATGTCACTTAAAAAAAATAAAACTATTCTTAAATACTTCTCGACTGTCTATAAATATATAGCTGTGAAAAAGGTACACAAATTGTGGCCTGAATTTGTATTTAATCTATAATGATATTAGATTAGATTATTAATGTCAATGGGCCTGTCCAGCATAAATAAAAGAGAAACTTAATTCATAAAATAGAAATAGGTCATTGATTCAAACAAGTCACACTATGCAAACAACATTTTTAAATGTCACAATAACACATTATTGCATGTTCTCCTCACCAGGATTGACAACCAGCTGCAGTGCGGCTCGGAACTGTTCGTGGGACACTCTGGAGGGCTGTGTGTCTGAGCTGGAGCCCCACGAGGGAGGAGGGTATGCACCTGGGGGGATGTAGGGCGACGAAGGCTGGGAGTACGCACCCTGAGCAGAGGGAGAACACAACTACAGATCACGATGAAGACAGTCTTTTACAACATAGAAAGTGATGAGCAGTAGTTACCTGCGGCGTATAGGGCGGGCTGGGCTGGGAAGGCGGGTGGTGGTAGGGGGAGGGCTTGTAGTGGTGGAACACAGGCGGGTAGGGCAGGTGGGCTGGGGGATACCCGGGAGGCTTAGGGTGGCTCTGAGGTAGTTTGAGAGGCCCGCGCGGGTACGTGTCTCCACTCAGCACCTGAGGGCTGATGTCGCGCGACTGACGTTCGTAATCACTCTGCAGAGGAGACACAAAGAACAGTTTTAGGGAGTGAGAATAACGTGGATGTACACTGCTCCACTAAAGTTTGTCCTAACTGCATTTCATGTAAGTCCTACACATTCACACACGTTGAATAGGCTCAGTGCACAACCCCTGTGTCATAAAAAGAAAAAGAAGATAGCGACGCTGTGGGCTCGAGGTGGTAAAGGTTTTCATTCTCCACTACGTTTATGCACGGCTGACATGGATCAATGGTGATCATGCCAAACATCTCCTCTTGAAAACATCTCTGTTGCTCAACGTGCTTTAACGCTGCATCCTCAGGGAAGGGAAGAGAAAGCAGTTATGACATTTACTATGTAAGTATGTAAGTAATATTTATTTTCAATAGGGCATTTTACAGACCAAGGTCACCCAAAGTGCTTTAAAACCAGTACCATCATTCACTCACTCATTACATTCAGACCTATTGTACATGTTTTTAATTGTAAGGGAAAACGGAGCACCCGGAAGAAACCGGAGCAGACACGGAGAGAACATGCAAAATCCACACAGAAAAACCCTGTTCCAACCGGGATTTGAACCCGATGGAATTGGCAATTTGACCCAGTCAAATTGCCAATTATTTTTCCTCCCATTGAAAAGAAGTCATCTTAGCTTACAGTAGATCTGACCATCAATCTGATTTACCTTTTTTTTTGTTGGACTGAACGTATAATGAATGTCTAAATGGCTAAAAATGACTGGAAACTGGAGTTGATTCCACTTGCATCCATAACACTATACCCATACAGAACACAATGCTAGTCCCAGCAGTGTGGACGTTGTCCCTGGTACAGTGATCCGGATGACTAGGCCCAAAACCACGTCTAATTCAGGACACTCAGTTAGAAAGACACTCTCATACTTTATCCTTACAGCCCTAATGTAAGATCCCCACACCCCACTCTCTGCACTGCACCCACAAACATGTCCCGTTGGAGGGGAGAGGAGGGAGACACCGACCCTCATCCACATTCTTTCTATTTTCAGCTCTGGAGGATGAGTCAGAGCAAACAGGCTGACTCAAGCACTTTACTCACGACTTGTAGTACTCTGCCAAACGGAGACCTGGAAAGCTGTAGAACTCAAATCAGCAAGATTTAGAACTCAAATCTTAGAATTGATTGAAGTAAGTTAGATTAGTTTAGATTCAAGGATGATTTGAAGTGTCTGTGTCATGAAATGGATTTGTAGTATCTATGGAAGACACCGATGAAAGGAATAGTATACAAGTATACAAGTATACAAGTATACAAGTATTACAAGTATTATTTATTACCTACTATTCCTTTCATCGGTGTCTCCCAGTTAAATACCCGGTGCTCTTTCCCCGTGTTCAGTCTTTCATTTTATTACTACATTTCATTTTGCATTTGTTTTTGGGCCAATCTGAAAAATCCCTAATAATGGATCTCAATAAATTTACTCTAAAAAAGCTGTTGTAGCAATGTAGCTGTGAAGTGGGTGGAGCTTTGGTTTCCAGAAGTAAAATTCCCTCTTTAAAAATCTAAATATTACCGGTAATAGTCAAAAACATTACTCAACCTCAAACACATTTTCAATCTTTTCCATAGAGATATTTTTTTAACTCCCAATGAGGATTTTGAATGGAGAATTTTTACTTCTGGAAACTACAGTAAAGGCTCTGCCACTTCACAAAGAATCATTTTGGGGAGTTAGAATGAGGCATACACTGCTGTTCAAAAGTGTGGCCTAGATGCTGATGCTCTTGGAGGTCTTCACTGCATAGGGCATTATCTGGGCCTTTTGCTGAATACAATGTTGATTAGTTTTAAAATACTTCATACGAGTAATCTCCTTTACCGTATTTTACAGGGTCACAACAAGGTCACATACAGCCCTTTACACATAAATACATAAAATGACATTGAAAAAGCTTTTTCAGTGTATTTTTCTACATTGTCGGCATGTTACTGGGACAAATGAGAGTGATAAACGTGTGTGAGTGGACATTAGAAAATCATTATAGTTGTTGTACATGAGCTGCGACAGTGGTTTGATAAAGAACATCCGAAAAGCCGCGTTTAATTCCTAAGCTGTCGGAGTTTTAATACATTTGGGCCGATGATAAAAGTGCTGCGCTAAAACATCGATAGCGGAGCAGGCTTTGTAGGAGTGATGCCCTGACAATAAAATGTAATTAAGTCTCTGCACACCGCCCTCTTTGCTCCCAAACAGTGCAGGAGAAGAGAGAGAGGCCATACGAGATTTTTATTTGTGAACTGCTCTACCTTAAGACGCTCACGCTCCAGTATCACCGCTTTGTTTTACTTTTAATTCATGTAACATTATGAGGACTCTCCTAATCGTAGAGGCCCACATCAGCATCAAACTAGCTGATCATTGGGGTATACCTTGATGTTAAAAGGCCATTTTATTATTTTTAATTCAACATTAATTTAACATATTGAGGCTTAAACTTTCTCTTATTTGAAGCCCCCCTCTCCATAATGCCAAGGAAAGTACCATCAACTCTACTCTGACAATGTAAAGGTTAAAATCAGTTTTTTTGATTAGCTGTGACCAAAACTGAAGGATTGTTGATTTGTGTTGTACATGTTCTGAAATATGTGTATTGATTGATAACAGGGAGTTGTTACTCACCTGTTATCATTTAGATCAGGGATGTCAAAGTCAAATACAATACAATACAATACAATACCATTTATTCTTGTATAGCCCTAGGTCATAACAGAAGTCATCTCAGAGGACTTAACAAAACCATTGAAATCACTAACACAGATCAGAGAATCAACAGTTAAAACACATGAAGAAGAAAAACTCTTTAAAAACCCAGTGGGAAAAAGTGAGAAACCTTGGGAGACCTATAGCTACAGGACGTGGATCAGTGGCCGCTGAACGTGGACAGGTCCGGTGCAGGACTGAAGCACTCCCAGGCGGGTCGGGCGGGGCAGTCCGCAGTCCAATACATCAGAGGGTCAGAAAAACAAATTTGCTCCAAGCCGAGGGCCGGACTGGTTCAATCTTTATTAAAACATAATAAAATGACCTAACACAGTGTGCCATATTTTATTTAATGATTAAATGAATAATTAAATAAGTTTGTATGGCTCTTTCAGTCATTTCATGTCATTTTTGTCATTTTCTACCCCTTTATTAATCCCCCTGGGTCAGGGGGGTAAGTAAGTAAGTAAGTTTTTATTTATATACCGCCTTTTCACTGCAGATCTGAGTCTCAAAGCGGTTTACAATTGTTAATTTTGGGCATTTGTCTCTCACTCCACACAGATGGGCGCGGGGCCAGTACAGGAGGCGCATGCCAGAATTATTGGACATATTTTTAGTGGTAGGGGAAACCGGAGTACCCGGAGGAAACCTACGCAGACACGGGGAGAACATGCAAACTCCACTCAGAAAGGCCCTGGTCCGACCGGGATTCGAACCCAGGACCTTCTTGATGGCTTCTCCGTGATCGAAGACATGGCCTTGGTCTTTCAGCGGGGGTTCAGGCAATGTGGGGTTAAGTGTCTTGCCCAGGGACACAACGACAGCAGTCATCAGTAGGAGCAGATGACATGGGTCGTGGTGGACTCAAACCCACAACCATTAGGTCCAGAGACCAGTGCTCCACCAATACTCTTTCAGTCATTTCAAGTGAAAACATTTTTGAAATGGACAAAAACAAACTTTCTTCACAGAGATAACACATGTCCTGAACATTAAATGAATAATCCAAAATTTTCTTATGGCTCTGTGCGGCGGTTCTAATACTAATCAAATATCATCCTGGGGGCCAAGAGAATTCATTCGAGGGCCGGATCTTGCTCCCGGGCCTTGACTTTGACACCCACGATTTAGATAATACATATTTCAGGCACTTCTGTTTCACATTCTGCTGTTTATCTGATTAGTGATGTCAATGCTAAACTGTGGTGTTGTGTAAAGGCATAATGAATGTTTAATTGTTTATTTGAACATAGAATATTCTAGTTTGTACTCAGTCTCATCCAGTCTGAGTCCAGGACGCAAACACCATTCACCTGAATCACAATGAACCCATGAATTGACAACGCATAGCATAACAATTGTTTATGGCTGTTACTATGGCAACGGCCCTAACTTTCCATCATTCTGCCACACCTGCACGGAGAAGCCCGCAGCCCATAAGTGAACAAACGAGACATAATTACACAACGCAAACTGTTTTAATCAATCAACCATAGGCAGGTGAGGGAGGAGCAAGGGATGCTGGGATGTAAGGGAGGGAGGGAGGGGGGGGGGATGCTCTTGCTCTTGGGACAGCCCAGGGGGGAGCTCCCGTATCACTGGCCGAGCTGTCATCCTGGGGTGTCCTGATCCATGTTGGTTAAACGCGCATTAATCTGAGTTTGGCAGCGTAATCAACAGCACAACTCAAGTGTGAAATTGAATTGGGCGCTGGAACGTCGTCGCGTGACCGGTTTTATGCTAAGGCTGCAGAAAAGAAAAGGGGAAAACGCCGCAACATCAATTTGTCACAGAGAGCCGCAGCGAGACCGTTACAGAGAAGGGAAAGGAAAGGGGGGGTAGGTTAGAGAGAGAGAGGGGCTGTAAGAAGAAGAAGAAGAGAGGGAGAAAGACCACCACAGACACCACAGGGGCAGCCCGACCAGAGGAGAACATACACACTCAGCTGCAGCAGGTGGGTATGTATTTATATATTATGTATATGTCGATAAACACAGTCAAGTTTGACTTATCTGGGCCTGAACCTAGATAAGAACCAATTCAAAGAGTTACCTAAAAGATGATTGCTACAAGATGGAAGTCCCCTCGCCCATTCATTTTATTGTTGTTTACAGAATGGTGTTTTTGTTCATTTTTATGTCCTCAACCTGTGTATACAAAAAATAATAAAAAAAACTCTTTGAAAACAATAACTAGAACCAATGAGTGCATTGTAAGTGATTAGTATTTATGTTGCCATGCTTCAAGTTGTTCAAAGTAGAACG